TGCAAAAAAAAAAATGTGTTTTATAAGAATTAAAATGAAAATTAATTAAAATAAAATAGTCATAAGAAAATCGGTGTTTAATTATATTGTGTTTATCGATATAATATGTTTACTTAAATTATTTGAGTTAATTTTGAATGGCCGATTCCGTTAAATTAGAGTGATATTATTTAGAATTGATTGTTAGTTTATTAAAACAAATATTTAATAAAAGCTATTGTTAAATTGGAAAGATTAAAACGAAAGTTTGTTTTTAATTATAGAGTAATAAATATACCTTTAAAAAAAATATTTAAGCGCACAAAGAGAATAAAAAAAAGGCGATAAAAAGTTAATCACTAAAATACACAATGAAAAATAGGGTTGTTGTTTTTTTTTCTTGCCGACCACGTTAAACGGTCATTTATAATTCGTTTCAAAATGCTGTACTACTCTGTCCGTGTGTACTTTATGGCCCAAACGTTTTCGACGTTAACGAAACCGTAAAATAGCCGGTTGGGTTACGCTAATAATATTAAACGCAGTCGTGTGTTATCAAACAATCATTATCTTATTACTATTGTTATTATTTACTAGATTTTGTAAACGTATACATTAAAGTGTAGTCGGCCGGTAGGTGTAGCCGGAAGTGTACGCGTAGGAAACGACAAAAGGCTCGGTTATTGAGAGCACGGCCACTGAGATGTGCTCTACACCCATAAGTGTATATATATGTATACAGAGTGACATGTGTAACTAACAAAAGCCGAACAAAAAATTCGTAAAACAATCATTTGTTAAGAGAAATCGAGTGGCCGGCATCAAAGGAATCGCTCTGTATGTGTACAGCTATTACAAAACCATATCGTATGCTTTCGTATGATTATTTATTTAAACTTGCACAGCTCTCGTTCTTCGCACGGCTAATATAATTCTTTCGGGTACGATTAATCACCGCTCCTTCCCCTCCACAGCAATATCGTCGTCGACGTAGCTGTTGTTATTCTTTTTTTTTTGTCACGAGTTTACTTCAATGTACGTCACATATAAATGCATTCGTGTATTCGCATTTTCCTCGGAATCAATTTGTACGGATTTGTGTCGGATAGAAAACAAACGATAGTGAAATACGGATAAAGATAATTACAGACACGGATTATTTGTGGAGACCAAAAAAAAAATGAAAAGTATTAAATTCATATTGTCCCGTGAATTAAACGCGATCGCACACTCGTCCGTTTTTTATTATATGATGGTAGTTTGTTCTATTTATGTTATGTTTTCATGCTTCTTACATTGCCTTTTTCTACTTTTGTTTAACGTTAGTTTCAATATATAGTGTTAAAACTTTTATGGAATTATTACAATGAAAATTACAAAATCTAAGTTGAGTTCCAAAGAATAACCCTATAACATCAAAGTGGTAAAATACGTTATAGCTAAATTTTCTTTTAAAACAATCATCTTATATCACGACGAACAGACAAAACTGCAAGCGTTAAAAACTGAAACTTTTAAAAGTTTTCCCGAAAAACCGTTAGCATATTAAGTCGAGTAAAAAACATAGAAAAATTGTGTTGATCGAACGTTATTGAATGACAATCGTTTATTTTATTAATATTGTGCATTGTCAAACTATTGTTTATATATTTTTTTCAAATAAAAACAAATACTTTGAGAATTTTACCAAGAAAATGTAAAAGTAAAATTTTTATTTTTTAAATGTCTCTACAACAATTCTAGCTTACGGAGACAATAATTTTTACTCAAATGATTTATTTATCAAAATAAATTTATAATTATGAAATTTATTATTTAACTATCACGTTTTTTTAAATTTTAGTGAAAATAAATTGAATTCAATTAAAAAAAAAAAATGTAAAGGTTTTCTTGTATACAATTGGTTTCAGTTTTTTGTCAATTAATTAACATATTTAACATTCGATAGTTTATTAACCTCTTTGATCAAATTATAAGTGACGTGCCATTGAAAAATATAAATATTATTGTATGTGCAATTTAGCAGAAAGTATAAATAATTTAATCGGTTGAGTTTGGTTTTACTTTGTAGAAAAAAAGAAGGATAAATTCTTTACTTTTTTCATGAAAATATGTAAAGAATAAAGCATTGAATGTGGTTCAATACACTTGTACGTATTAGGTCCAGTACTATTCTGGTGGTAATATAACACAATAAGTATGTATTTTGTGTTTATGTCCACATAGATAGAAATACAATGTATAGGTTACCTACTTCCGCAAAAATATTATGTCCATCAACCATGATAATCACACGAAAGGGCAGTAGTAAGTCATAGACATTATGTTATTTGTGAAAAGAGGGTGAATATTTTAAGGTCAATAATCTAATTTCTAGAATAAATCTAAAAATAAATGTTTTTTGGTATATTCAATGAAATTAATTTCCGTGTCAGGTACATTTTTAATCAATAATAACGAAGAACAAAAATTTGACTATTGAGCGATTTCCCAGCATGAAATTTAATAAGTTATTGAAATTTATAACAAAAACAGAAGTACAAAATTTCGGTTTTTTTTTTGTTAGAGATTTTTTTATTTAAAAAAAAATTATAGTATGAGTGAATTAAATAAAATTAATTTTTATGTATTTTAAAAAAGTTATTGCAAGTAGTTTAATAGATTCGGTTTATTGATTAAGTAAATAATTATATTAGAACTACAATGAATTATTATGACCGACTATCATAAGTTTAATCGGTGTACAATATTAGGTCTATTAACGAAAGTTTCAACTTTACCTAACAATATTTTAAATTGATTAATAACCACACGAAAATATTTCTGGGTATATAATAGCAAAAAGAACAAATAGTAAGTCTTATTAAAGAAAGAGTAAACGGCTGAAATAATACTGACAATAATATAAAAATAAAAGAGTGATTTTGGGAGGTAGGACAGTACGCGGTGTACGGAGAGAATCGATAAACACGACACAGCAGACTGCTACAAAACGAAGAGCTTTAGAATTACTTTCAAAAAAGTTATTTCTACTATAGGCGACACATTGTAGGAGTTTTACAAATTTTAAAAGAATTTGCTTGAAATTGTTTTATGAAGAATTATAAAAATCAAATATGATAGCAATATTACATTACGATATAAAATAAAATGCTAGAGAACCCATAAAAAAAACTGTTAAATTAAATTGGATTTAAATAGCGCTATATTTTAGTAAAGTATTTCACTTACTATTGCCAATGCATGTTAAACCCCAAGCAACAACTTTTCCAAGTAATCGATCATTAGAGCTATAAGGCTATTGCACTTTTATGTATATATGTTATAGTATCGGTAAACAAATTATAGTCAATTCTTCCAACATGGGCACTCATAATATGCCAGCAGTGTATCGTATTCTGGTGTGTATATATATATAGAGAGAGAGATAGAGAATATAAAATACTCTGCTAGAATATTATATATTACGATATTTGGTAATATTATTATTATACAGAGTGTACAGTAAGTAGGGAAACTGGTCAATTGTTACAAACAATGCGAACAATAGAAACTATATATATATTTAAAGTACATACTACAATATTAAGAGTATTATTATTAATGTTGTTTCTTAATGGGATAATAAAATTAAACATGAAAATAAAGAAACGCTTGTAATTAGAAATATTATAGTGAATAAAAATAAAATTGATCAGATTATATATCAAAAGTAACTTCGATAGGTCTTTTAATTCTTTGACAACTTTTAGTGATGGAAACGTTAAATTATTATTGAAACATTAAAATGTTAATAAAAGTTTGTGAACACATTACAATCGATAACGTAAAATGAAACAGTTGGTACACTTCTGAGATATCTCTCTCATAGTGTCTACCAAAAGTAATTGTAAATTTATTTCAACTTTGTGTTGGTACAAAATAATCTAAAAATAATCAAAATAGTCTAAAAACAACAAAAGTTTCATTATAATTTATTGAAAATTAAAATTTTAACTCGTAGCATTTGGTGAACACACATAACATATTTGAAGTATAAAATTGGCATTTTGAACTATTAAAGGCTATCAACCTTTTATCCAATACTGAAATTGTTTAATGTACTAGATTGTGCACTCAACGGCCAAAATTCATATCATAGGTTTTGGGAAACAAAATTGTTTTACCAATTAAATGTAAAATCCCAGATAGCAATAAAATATTTCTAGAATATTTTAGAATATTTCTTTTTGGTATTGAAATTCTAAGTGATTGTTTAACTATGATACAAGCAATTTTTTTAAAAATATTATTTTTCCTTTTCGGAGGTTAATAGTATAAAATTTCAAAAAAAAATTGTACCTATCCGCCCCTATCATTTAACTGATTTACAAACTAAAAAACTATTTATCAAAGAAAATGGCTGGATGATAACTCTTGGACGAGTATATTTGAAGTTAACTCTTTTATATAAAGACTGGAGGTGAGTCTATTTATTATTACATCTAGGCAATAATAAACTGTACTCACCTGGTCATGTAATATAAATCTTGATATCTTTTAAATTACTAGTCCAAAAGTCTTTATCGATCAGACATTTTCTAGTTAGGATATTTATTAAATAGTAGTTAATATTAATTAACTACCAGAGAAAAAAATTAATATTTTATTTTTTATTATTATCTATAATATAATTAGAATATTTTGAAATATTCTCAAAATATATTATGCCAACAAATATTACAATTTCACAATATATTAAAGGTATATTTTTAAAACATTTTAATTTTCTAAAAAAGTTTTACTTTTTATATGTAAAGTTGTGATGCTAGTATGTAAGGGAAATTGTCAGATAAAAGAAAAATAAATCAAATAAAAGGAGCATATATCTATCTATCTATATATATATATATATATATTATTTTAAAAAATGTTTGTATTAATCAATTACTCAAAATATTATAGCAAAAATAAATTTTTAATTTAAAAAAAAGATCCAGAATTTTAACATAAAATCCATGTTTTTTATTTTTGTACATAGAATAAAGATGTTGTGGTAATTTTTTTTTTAATTTTTGCAAAGTTTAATTTATTAAGAATACGACCTCCTATATTTTGTCAAATGATTTTTTTATAAAATTGTACTGATTAAAATTTGATTTATTTTTATGAAACATAGTGAATATTAAGTGTATTGTAAGAATAATAAAAAAGAGTAAATTTTAGGGATAACTTTCAAAAGATAAAGACAACTTATTGTAATTTTATTATTATTAATGGAGAATGGCCTAAATAAAATTTTGACTGGTCGATATCCAGTTTTGTATTATTACTTTTTGAGTTTTTTAATTGTAAGGAAGATAAATGCGCAACGTACAATAAGTCTACTTATGCGAGTTATGATTTATAAAAATAAATCAAATTTTAGCCTGCACATTTTTATGAATATATGGGGGTAGTATTATTAATAAATCAGACTAACAAAAAAAACCAAACCCATCCAAATTTTGTGCATTGTATCGAAAGGTTCAGTGTAATAACCAATCATCTCAGTTTTTTTGAAATTTACATTCTAATTTTTCTTATGGATAGTCATTTTATAACAATTCGGTGTGATCACATCCGCCCACTAGGATAGCTAATATTATAAAATAAAAAATTTCTTATATATAGAATGAAGTACTATAAAAATATAGTATTTATACCTCCTAAATAATTTTAAAAAATGGAGATAACGGTTTATTGCATGGACCTTTCAATTATTCATTTTTATGTAATATTTTAACTAGTTCGAATCATTTATTCTTCTAAATCTATTTTATCAAACTAAAGTTGAATTTGTTGAATTTAATGATATTCATTCCCATGGACGCAATACATCTTGAAGTAAGGAGAAGCAGCCAAGAACTTTACCTGAAGAATTTAAGTATTTCACTGTAACTTTGTATTCACCATAAAAAAATACTTTTTGCATACTATGAACAGTTAGTTTACTCGTATCATATCCAATTGATTTGTAAATACCCTATTAAAATAAATTAATGCTACAATTAAATTTAAATAAATGTAGTTAATCATACTGGTTTTATTGGACAGTCAATAACATTAAATTGAAAAGCTTTTGCGAATTCAAGCCAATTATTTCCAAAAAATGTTTTAAACGAGCTACAAGCATTGTTGGATGACATAATATGAGCATTGTCTATCCAACCGCCGTTTGAACCTTTCATAGCATAATTAACATTTACCTATTTAAAAAAAGAAGTTGAATTAATTTCAAGAAAAATATATTTGCATTTGTGTTTAATGAACATATTATTGTTGAAACTTCGTAACTCAATCCTAACTTCACTTACAAATAAAGAATCGTCAAAAATAATTAGAAATGTTATATTGCCCATCAACATATATTTGCTTGGAGACGTTTTACTTATATAATAATTGAATTGAAGTAAATAATCATTCGTATAATTACAAGGTAAAAAGGCATAAATTTTCGTTTTATATTCTCCCTAACACAAAACACAAAACATAAAACGATATAATATAGATGATTTAGATTATATCTGGATCATATATTTTTTACAAATTATATTGAAGTACGTTTACTTACAGATGGTAAATTTGGCCGAAAAATCGACGTGTATTGAGAAAAAACTAACTTTATAAACAGAACAATCCACCAATTAAAAAATTCCATTTTTATTTAGTTTTGTCTATAAAGATAAACATACCAGAAAAATATATATTAAGATAAAATATCAAAGTAAGAAATAATTTAATTTAAAGTTTTGTTAATCAAAATGTTATAAAAAATACTAACAAAACTTTTATTTTAATTTTAGATTTATAAATAAAAAAAATTAATGATAGTTAGTTTAGAAAAAATGATTACTGTGATATTTTTTAAATCTAATTTTTAATTTAAAATTAACATAAGAAATATAAACTTATAAATTGCCAGAAAATTCTAAAGATCGTTAATAAAACTCAACTACTATATCTGTAGACTCAAAATTTTGTTTGTTTTTATTATTTGAATCATGAATATTGAACTTGTAAAATGTTTTTTTTTTTAAGAATTAAAAGGCAATATCAAGTTAACTTACTCGATATAAAGTAAAAATGACGAAATGTCCTATGTACAATTTTTGTGATAAAACTATGGTAGTTTATACAAAAAACTACACTTATTTTATAAAAAAGAAATTTTTATACAAATTTAAACCTACGAGATAATTATAACACTTTTTATTCATTCAGATGACCAAACGATTATTTTAATTTCCTCATTTTGTTTAAAACCCAGAATAATATAATAAATATTTTAAAGAAAAATAAATAAATTCACTAAAATTTGAAGGTTGTTATAAATAAAAAACAAGCTAATATGAAAAAAAAAAAAGTTTCAATTGTTAAAACACAAAATGTTTTGTGTAAATATCTATTTATTAATCTGTTTTGCATAACTATGAAACATTTTTCAATTTTTCAATAGGAAAAATAAAAGGAAGTATGTAAAGGTGTACAACATATACATTGCATCAATTAATTTTTATACGTCCTCTGCAATAGGAACTAAGGTTTTGTATTCATTCTAATTTACTACTTAGATTAGAAAAATAATGTTTTGTAAATCATTCATTATGATAAAATCAATAGCATTATTAATACTAGTAATATAAGTATAATTATGGCATTATCTATAATTATATTAAATATAGATAGTAAAGCGGGATAGTGATTTGCGATGCTCTATTTTTCCCTAACGCACAGATTACATTATATATATATATTTTTTTTATTATTAGTCTTTATTTAAAAATATTATGGCTCAACAATGATTACATTATAACAACTCAAAATTGTAATAATACAATACTGGTTATCGACATGTCAACATTTTAGTAAGACCATTTTGCATTTAATAGTAAAAAAAAAATAGTTATTTAACGACATACAGGGTTCATCCCAAAAGTAATGAGCCTCAACTTTTTTTGACGTGACTAAACAATCCAGTGCGCTTTGACCGGTCAGGAAGAGTGGGGGGAACTCTGACGAAATACTGCAGACCGGCCTCATTTCATTCTGAGCTCTGGAAGCGACAGGACGTGAGTTCCCCCGAAGGAAGTTTCTAAGCGTCGTCATGGAAAAAACGATTGAACAACGTTACGCAATCAAGTTTTGTTTTCGGCTGGGGAAAACCGCTACTGAGATAATCTCAATGCTTCAGTCGGCTTTCCCGCATAATTGTCTGTCCAGTTCTCAAATTAATAAGTGGCACAAGGCGTTCAAGGAGAGCCAAGAGGACGTCGCTGACAAACCAAGGTCAGGGCGCCCGTCAACTTCGCGGACAGACGCCAATGTGAAACGTGTGCGCGATTGCTTGAACACCGACCAGGACAGACTGTGAATGCAGTGTTTTACAAGGCTGTGTTGAAGAGATTGAGACTTAGGATCCACCGCCTGCGGAGGGAGAAGAAGTGGCCGATTCAGGAAGACTGGAGGCTCCATCACGACAATGCGCCCTCTCACACCGCGTTCATCGTGAACGAATTCCTGGCCAAAAAGCACATCACCGTGGTTCCTCAGCCTCCCCCTACAGTCCCGATCTGTCTCCCCCGGACTTCTTTTTATTTCCAAAAATGAAAACAGCCCTGAAAGGACATCCCTGACAGTCTATCGAAGACATCCAAGCAGCCGTGACGAAGGTCCTGACAGAAGTTACGGAAGACGCCTACCGGGGAGCGTTCGAGGCATGGAAAAACCGCCTCCAGCGGTGTATTGACACGGGAGGAGAGTATTTTGAAGAATTTTGATGGCTTGTAGCGTTATAATCAATAAAAGTGTGATTCTGAACAAAGGCTCATTACTTTTGGGATGAACCCTGTAGTTATGAGGTAGTATACTTAATAAATCACGCTGAATAAAAATTAAAAATAATATTGAGATATTTTTGGGGCCTTTTTTAGTTACTTGTTTTTTTCAATTTATTAGAATGTTGAATGACTATATAGATAGCAGAACCTAGAAGACTTTAATTAAAATAATATGACTGGAATTATATAGAATAATGTACAGATTATGCAATACAGCTAATGTCAATAAATTACTAAGAAAGTTTTGAAATAGAACATCAGCTGTTCCTGATTGTGGTTTAAGGTAACTAAAAAAAAACTTGTAGTAGAGCAGCAGCTAATACAATATTGAGTCTATAAAGAATAAATAATACAAATTTAATAAAAATTAAATATTTTCATAAAATCGCTAATTTTTAAAATTTTTTCAATTTTTTTAAAAAAAAAACTTTTTTAAAAATGACCAAACTAATATAAATTTTTTTTATATTGACACGTGAGGTACTTACCCATCATTTCGTATATTTTTTTTTATAAATTTCACCATTTACCTGCCCACAAGGGGAATTCAAAATGACAACTTTTTCACAAAAAATTAACTTTTTCAACTGAACTTTTAACAGTTTATTATCGATTATTCATTACATCTTTGAGAATGATAGTCGATTTTTTAAAATTAAACACTATCTACAGATTTTTATCGAAGCGTTTTTTATGATAGTTAGAGAAAAGACATTTTATGTAATTTTACAACAACAAATAAATTGTTCATAGTTTTTTAAAAATTCTATGTTTGACCATCTCTTAATTTAATATTTAAGTGACTTCGAATCATACAAATACTAAGTCGAGTTGCCATGGATTATTTAATATGAATACACAAATATTTATTTTCAAATACAAATTAGTTTATTGTTGATTTTGGTCTAGAAGAACTAGTTTTTTGTGCTTATATACTATTACTGACAGTTACAATAAATTAAGAAAAAAGTATTTTGATACATTGATTTTTTGCAAACAATCACATTACAATCAAGGTAAAAAGATTCTTTCGTCGGTTGGCAAGAGTCTTCACGTGTTGTCTCACCAAAAAGGAGGGTAATATAAATGGTATAGTATCTTAGCTTAATTTAGCCCAGGGATTTGTTTTTAATGAAACTTAGCTTACCACCGATAGACAGAAAAAATTCTCTCGGTATCTAGCGTTTTAACACGTACATAGAATTAATATACTTATTTATTTGAACATGTAAATGTAGTATAGATTTATATAATCGGTATTAAAAAATTCTTTAATAATTTTAATAAAAATGAACTATAATTATACTAATTATTGTTTAGATGATAAATATTATTGCAATTTAATATGTTATTAATTAGAAGGCATTGAGTGTTACTTAAATAAAGTTAGTAATCATGAAATTAAATCTGACACAATACAGAACGATGATTCAGAAACTAAAAACATGTCGGAGTTAGAAGATGTGACCAAAAAGAGAATTGATATTGAAGATAAAGAGCTTAACAATATTCTTGAGGGATATGATAAGTTTGAAGAAAATGTTCATGAACTTGGTATGACGGAGCCTAAAATAGTAGATATTAAAGGATCAGCCTTTGTGGAAACTCGTAGTCTTAAAGAAGGTGAAATTTTGGCAAGATCATTATAGTTAATGGGGAGTGTTATAAATTCTATAAAGTAAGCATATTATTTTATTGCCTTAACTATAATATGACAAAACTGTTAATCAACATTTTAAGATTTTACTTTGATTTTATATATAATTATAATATTTACATTTATTTTAACAAAATGCTTTAAACATGAAATATTTTTATTCTTAAAAAATCTTGAATATTTTTCGAGGGATAACAAAGAATAAAAAAAAATTCTATATAAAGCTATATGAAATAGTGTGTTTTTGTTTCCCTCAGAATAATTAAAAATACCGAGATACGCAAGTAGGCACAAAGACAAACATATATTGATTAAATAGATCCTAAAGTTTAAAATTATTTTTTTTTCAGGACAATTTAAATGTAGGTTATAATCGACGTTTTAGATATCCACAAAAAGTGAATTTTTTTGTTGATGATTCAAAGCCCAAATTGGCCGATAAAGTAGCAAGAATTGGAGACCTTTTTGTCCAAAGGTAATATAAAATGGTTTAACAGCAAAAATAATCAATTTAATATTGTTTTTTTCTTATCTCTAGGTGCTATTATTGCTTAATGGACGATTACCTTTATTTAGAGGACTGTATGCAGTTACAGTTAGATTTTTATAATTTTTACTAATTTTATATATAATATATTCAATTAATGTTTCAATTTAATTCATAAGTACTTAAAATTATTAATAAAAATGATGTATTATAAAGTTAAACTTAAGAGTTAATGTATTGTAATAATATTCTATATTATTGCTAATTTATGATCAATACATTGTCATTAATTAAAGATTCTTTTGATAAACATATTTAATATAATAAATATTGATAGATGTATGTGTAAAAAACACATTTTTCAAGAGAAGGAAGAAATAGATTTTCTATAAATTACAAATGTATACTATGTTTCAACCAATTATAGAAATATGATATATATTACTATATATTAAATATGTAATTCGATGTTTTAATAACAGTTTTACAAACTTAAAACAAAAAATTGTGACATTCGCCGATCCTTTTGGAAGATATTGTCATCGCTACAATAATTCATATCTTGCTAATAAAAAAAAAAAAAATTATATTTTCTTACTAATTAATAGTCGTTAAATGTTTAACAATGAATAAATAATTTCATTAATTAGAATAAATACTGAATAATTTATTACATTTAATTAAAAATGTATTTAAATTTTTTCCAAGGGTGATTTTAAATTAGAAATTCTAGGACAAATGGAATGTAGGTTATATGCATATAAATTTATTTGAACTTGCACTTTTATTAATATTGCATAAAAATAAATTTAGGCCAGTGTTTTTAAAATGTTAATAGCTAATCAATTTTTGGATACAGGTAAGAACTATTTAGAAATATCACAAGAATTATGTTACTAAGAATTCTTTTGTTAAAGGAGTCTTTTAACATTATGAGAATTTGAAATTGTTACCTGAGAAGAAATATATTCAAATGAATAATTAATGAGCTGGAATAGTTTTTGAGACCAATCTAAAGAAAAAGATGCAGTGGTTAGCTGTTCATAGTACCCTGGTGTTGGCCGTTTGCGGTCTGTGTCAAAATCGTATCAAAAAGACATTTGGGAGTTATTAGGTAGAGTATGCTTTTTTTAGTTTAAAATAACATATTAAGTGATATTTATACTAAAATTTTTTGTTTTTTTGTTTAAAGAACACAAGTATTTTCTATAAGGTTTTAGATACACGTGTTCGGCAAAGATAAATGTAAAAAAAAAAATACTTGGCTACTAATCGTTAAATTATTTATTTGGCGATTAAACAATACTTATGAGACCCTGGTACCGAAATATCAATAAGTATTGCGGTCAGTGTTAGCATCAAAATCGATTGATGTCGTCTAGAAACGATAACATTTGACGATACTTGTTTTAGATCACTACGCGTTTTTATGTGTTTATTCACAGTAAACTTACTGGCATTTACCACTTTAACTAAAAGTATATTTTTAATTTGAATAATTTTATTATAAGAGATTTGCAATGTTTTTTAATTACAAAACTGAACACATATATAGTTTTGAACGAAATTATATGAACATAATACACATATATCATTAAATACTTAAGTTCAATTGTAACTAATTTATGATGTAAAATGTTGTAATTATTTATAGAGTAAAAAATAAGAGCCAATGTTAGTATATTGTGTACTGTAAATTACTTACACTCTTAAGCGTAGGTTAGTAAATTTTTTTGGGAAGGCCAAATCTAATTTTTACTTTTCTAGAAAATAATTTTTATTTTATTTGAGTTTATGTAAATATCATAAGAAACAATATTTTTATAATTTTTATTAGAAAGAATTTGTTTATTTAATTTACAAAAAATGTAAAAGAGAAAAACCAAAATAATCATTTTTAGAGTAGATTTTATAAAAACATTTGGTAAATATCTTATTAGTGAAGAGTAGTAAAATTTTTGTGACATTTCAAAGTTTGTGAAAATTCTCATTTTCATGTGTTTATTTTACGATATCAAATATTGAAATATATATTGAGATATGTTATTGAGAATTTTAAATTAATTTTATTAACCAGTGATTAATTTAAGCTGTTTATTTTATTCCATTTAACATTTAGATAGTTATTGTTATTTAATATTGACGGTGTTTATGGAGAATACCGACAAATAATTCTTATATTGTTGTTAACACTTGTACGTATTCATCTAGGTAAAAATTTCTTATTTGTGTAAACATTGTAGAAGTAAAAAAATGTTACACCGATTCATTAATAGGCATTATATATTATAATGTTATTTATTGTTTTAATCACACTATACTCTAATGTAATGGCCATCAATATTGCTAAGGGAAGTCACAAAAAATTTCTTTTACTGTTTTAACCCTCAAAAATCCAAGTTATAGCGGTGAAACGCATCTATTTTATACTTGTTTAAGAATGATTTTAAAATATTATTGAAAACGTATTATAAAATTTTATTTATTTGTACTAAAAGACGTTAATCTATTTTATTAGTTAATAAAAAAAAGATATTAAGCGATCCAAGTTATAATATTTCTATCATTAAACTCATTATAATATTACTTAAAATATTAAATTCTTTTCTATTGATTTTCAACTCAAAGTCGAAGAAAATGTTTTCGACAAGGGAAGTTAACGGTTTTTACTCCCACAGGCTCAATAATATATTATTGTCACGTAGTACAACCAACAACATTTACTTCAATGTAAAAATGCTATTCTGTAATATAAAAGCAAAAAGTTGCTTCAGAATAAAATAAAGTGTTAAAAGCTAAATAACTTATTATGCGTAGTGTTGTAGTTGAAGATAAATATTTCAAAACAAACGTTGAAAATTACGGAAAAACTCAACGCTCACGAAAATTTGCCAGTAGTTGGCTATTGGCATATTTTAGAGTTTTCTCGAGGTCCAATAATTATTTTATTATAATTAGTATAAAAATGATATATTTCAAATTTGAAACCAATTCGTAATATTTAGACGCCGTAAGTTAATATTATAGTTTAAGCTCTACGAATATAATTATGATAAGATATTCAAATTAAACCACAGATTTCTAAATGTTTGTTAATTTCACATATTTTCATTCATTAATATGTCTGTGTCTTATATGCCAAGTCATTTGTACAGTTTCTTAACGCTTTAGTTATTATATTTCTTTGGCTTCTTACTGCTTTTCATTTCTGTGTCTTTTAAAGTTTTCCAAATTCAGAAAAAATATCAAAGATAATCATATAAAAAAAAATCACATTAAACTTAGGTATTTTCCTAAGAAATGTATCAATTCAATATTTTTTTATTCAAAGGTGACGAAATTCAAGGTTTTCAAAATAAGCACTGAAAGAGAACCTCGAGTAAAAGATATCATTAAATTAAATGTTTTAATAAAATCTAATAATGTATAAATGTTTACAAAAAATGAATATCGACCATTCATATATTATATTGAGCTTTCAGGAATTGTCATAGACTAAAACAAGATCGGTAGAATTGCACATCATTACCAAGGAATATTATAACACTCGATTTACATACAGTTTGCCTATAAACACATACAAAAATCGTCAGACACGAATTAAGGAAGGGCAAGGGAGCGAACGGCACGGAGTTCCACAAGTGTAGTGAGCCCATATCGTTTTTTATTCGTTTGAAAGTCTTACTTACACGATGTCACTAATATAACTATTAATTTATTTTTTTTAAGAAAATATATAGACATTTTTAGAATATAAATAAAATCAATATAGTAATTTCTCAGTACATTTTGGTTTACATATAAAATAAGAAGGGAGAGAACCCTAAACACATGAACAATCACCACAAACCCTTAACCCTAAAAGGATATAAAAGTACATACATCTGCCACGAAGCTGCTGACGTGATGCTCACGGGTGTCCTTCATTTCACATTAATAAACGGGTATAAATGAGGGGTGTGAATCATCAATTTACCATCGACCGAATGCGAAATTGGATTTAGATTAGAATTGTAAATATTATTTTCAAAATATAGACACTATGATACGGTGTGTAAAATGTATACAATGCAATAATAACGATAATATTTTGAACAAGAATTTAACTATAAAATTTTTTTCTCATTAACATTAACAATTAGTAGTTAAAATAAATCACGTTTTTTTTATAATATAAATATAAATAAATAAGGAAAATTTATGTACATTTTTAATTATAAAGACAATCTGCATCAATATAGAATAATTAAAATGTAATAAATATACCTTAAGTTAAACCAATGAAAGTAAAAGGGGCAGATTTCTCTCTTAATGTTACCTCAAGAAATTTATTTTAGTATTACTGTAAGTCAAAAGGATTTTTTATAAAATTATAATCGGGCAAACTAATGTTGATCAGTCAGTCATTAAAAACGACTCAAGTGGTCCCTTAAAAATGACATTGCTACGCCCCTTCTACATCTACTTTTAAAATTAAGTAAATTTATGCGAATAATAATTTAAAAATCGCTTTACAAGATACTACGAATGATATTTATAAATATTTGAAAAGTTATATTGGTAGTAGATTACATAAATATGTCAAGGTAAATATTTTAAATTATTTTTATTCATATTTTAAAAAGAAATGTAAATATATAAAAATATAATTTTTTAAAGCATTGTAAAAATATTTTTAGTTCAATATTTTATATTTGTACACTCATATTTATATATATTTTCAAAATACATAAACAAACATTCAAAATATTATTTACAATTTTTTTTTAAATTGTTTATTTAAAATTAATAATGAATTTTAAAAGATGAAAAACTCTTTACTGTTCATTTATTAGTGAAGCACCCTACTACAACAAATGAATTACACCAATAATTCAATTTATCTATTATTAAAACTATAATATTAATGCTTTATTTGTCTATAGTTTGAAGAAATTCACTTATTTATTTTTTTTTTTTATAAAATAGTCATATTATTTTTTGCAAGAAAACTTGCAAGTAACTTCTCTAAATCAAAGTTTATTAATTATAGAGCTATTAAAATATCATGTTTATTTAATGAAATAAAATAAAATTATATAAGTTTTAAAATTATCTTTAGAACTGTCTTGCTTAGTTTCAAAATTTAATTTAAAAAAATAATCTACAGAAATTGACAAGATGTTCTATGTTATCCAATTTAAATTCTAAAACAAACGGCATAAGTTTGTCTGTAAATTTAAACGCAATAAGTTTATTAATTTTGTGAAAAGAACGTATAATGTTATTAAATACCAAATTATTTTGTTGTCGTATTATCTTATATATAATTAATATATTAATAATAACTAAATTGTATTAATGATTAATAGTTTTTGATTTACAAGTACATATTTTCAGATATCATTCAAGATTATTTTTCTCCAACTGGACTACTCAAAACAAACGTTATAAAAGATTTTTATGATATGAATAATTTGTTTGATTATTAGATTCTGAAGCGTATGCACGTGACTCAGCCGTCTATTGTTATTTGACAATAAAATCACACGCATTCACATTAAGTACGTTAAGGTTTCAGCACGTTATTGCAACATCATGTAAAATAATATACCCACTCTAAAAAAAGACTGCCAATTACCAAAACAGACAGCAGCGTCCTCCTTTGATGATGACAACAATCGCAAACAAATGATAACAATCAAAAGGATAATCGTCGATCCTCTCCAAATATCTTTCATTAAGTTTCAACAATGAAAAGTCAAGTAAAGGATAAATATTTTATTATATGTTGTGTTTATAATAAACGATAAAATAATAAATTAACGATGTAACTATAGAAAAACATTACTAAGTTTTTTCAACTCTTGAATAATTTTATTTGTAAAGTATACTAGTGTATTATTATTTGCACCTTAAAAGTTTTGAAATACACAGAAATGACAGTAAATAATTAAATTAAAAATCCCAAATTATCGAGAGCAATATAATGTCAATTACATATTTCAGCCAAAACTAAGTCAAAAAGTTTATGTATCTAAAAGATAATATATAGATTATTTTTTTTTAAGCGATGTTGCAAATTATGTTAAAGTAATATATTAAATATACATTTCTTGAAAAAAGCAAGTAATTATTATTTGTTCTCCGAGGGAAATTATGTCACTTTTTATTAATTAATAATTTTTTCATAACTAGATGGTCGATGAAGAAGAGAATGTAAATGCTTTGTTTTTATTTTTACGGTACAATGATACGTTGCTCACATTCAACCCCTTTGCATACTTAGGGTCAAGATTAATTGAGCGGGCCCAGCTTGTGGATTTTAGTAGACGCCGTCAAAAAGGATTACCAATAGCTCACACGTTCATTTCCTGTCTAGACAATAGAATAGCCAAAAATGCTGTTTTTATAATAACTTATGTTGTGACTAATTGATTATATAATCATATATTAAATTTACATAGAACTGTAGAAGATTAACTCTTGACTGCTCTTTTTAATAAAACATTTAAAGGTATCGTTTGCTATATATTTACATAGATTGAATGTTTTGCCGTTGAATTTAACATTATCATTCATTAGAATGGGATTTTAAAGTGAAATAGTTACAATAGGGAACGATCTAAATCCAATTTAACAACATACACATTAAAATATGAGAATGTTAATTATAAGAATTTTTAGTCTTTCAATTTCAAGTTTAACTTAAGATTTAACAATTTAACATTCTCAACATTTTATGAGATTATTAAATTTTACATTAAAACATAAATGATTCTAGAATTTTTTAGTAATGATACGAGAAAATTATTTTACCAAAATTTTAATGTTTTAAAAATATATTATAACATTTCAAAACATTTTTTAAATATTATAGTCAATATATTACAATAATATTATAGTAAAGCTCTGATAATATTTTAGAAACGTCTAGAAATATTACTGTAACATATCATTGTAACAATACAGTAGGTCTTTTATGAATAGTAATATTTAAACATTTTCTAAGAATAATTAAGTGAATTAATTGAAGAACAAAAATACCATATCAGAAAATGTTATGAGTCAAGAAATTAGTTTTGATAGTTTTGACGTGTAGAATAGAACGAAGCTTCACTTGAGAGTAAATCTTAAGGAACATTATTATTTATTAAATAATTTTTAAAAACAATTAAAATAATTCAAGGATGATTACGCTTTAGTCTAAGGGATGACTCCTAGATGAGGAGACCGAGAAATGGCGTTGTCAACAGAGTGGTCATTAAAACTGATTGAGAGTTAATTAAATGAATTTGAAAAAGAACTTAGCATGATCGTTATACCTTTTTTTTATTTTTTATTTAAATAAAGTATTGATAAAGAGATGGATAAATGTAAAGTTAATAAAACTGCAAAGTTAGTTAATTATTTTAGAAAAATGTGTAATATGTACTAGAATGTTATTCTATATACCGATGATGCACCGAAAATATACAAATGCAGTAGTAAATTATCAGGAACAAGGAAGTATATTTGTTATTAGAATACAGTAATTAGTTGTAAACTAGCTGTGTTAACTTACCTAATATTAAGTACTCTTTATTATTATATTGTTGGTTTTATCAGAGCACAGTAATTAGTCAGTGATTAAATTTTATTAACTGATAAATTCGTACATTTTACTACTATTTTCATAATTTGTACATTCAAACAAGTTAAAAAATAATATTTAACGTACTGCTAATAAAAATCTCATGTACCGTAAAAACATTATAACTAAACCGAAACCTAGATGTTTTTAACAACTGATAATTAAATTAATGCATTAAATAAATAAAAAAAAAATTGATTCCATTAAATAATAATTTAATTTTAAGTGTTAAAATTTAATATTACATACTTTAATTGCTTAATGGTAGGTAGTTAATTATAACTATTAACAATTTATATAGAACTTAAAACTAAATTGATTTAAACGATTAAACAAAGCTTCACAAAACATTTGGTAGACCATTAAATTAAAATAATAAACAGCAAGTTTAAAAAAGATTTCATGAATTATTCTAATGATAATATTTTACAAAATTAATAACTCTTGAGATTTTCTGTTGAGAAAACGGTGAAACGGCTTTTATGTAAAAACATCTTTGGGCTCTAAGAACGGCAGTATTCAGAGAGTAAATCGTTGAAGGGGAGTTATTGAAAATTAATTTTGTACTTAAGAGGATGATTTAAGTATATTAATATACTTATTATTATGATACTTTATTGGCTTTTTAACAATCTGCAACTGTCTTTTTTAAGGTGTTGAAAAAAGTTCATTCATTAATCAAAAAATTATTTTACTAATTTATACTACCCGTGAAAAATTTAATTAAATGTATGTTAAAAGTATACAATAAAAACATTATTTACTATAATAATAATTGATCACTATATACTATGAATTTAGCATTGATAATGGTAACATTGTTTCCAAAATACGTATCCGCAAGTTTTTAGAAATTTTTTGTGGCTTTTGAGTTTAAAATTTTTAATATAGTTTTAATTTATTTTATTTAACAATATTTGGTTGCTGTACAATATATTTTTATATTACATTAAAAAAATACTTAAGTAGATAGTTGTATTTATTGTTTTATTTGTAAACATAAAATTGAATGATGTTTATTTCTATGCAAGACTAATATCGGCAATTTCAAAAGTGTTTTCAGAAATATAGATTTTGTAATATGATTTTTTCTATTGCTACGGTCAAGTCGCCGACTGATGTCTCGCCAGAGGTATTGATTACTTTTTTCGAAGAAACTAAATCTATTTTTAATACTGTTATGAACAGTTTATTGAAAAATAGTGTCAATTTATGATTTTCAAACTGTTTCCATCGTTTAAGTGAAACAAAAGCATTTCAAAATTTCTTTAACTTTTAAAGACAGAATTGATTATTTTATATAATGTTTTGATCAGGAAAAAAATTCCTTATAAATCAACATGCTTATTTATTTACAATCATGTTACAAATATTTTAAAAATATATTTGAATACGTATTAGAATATTTCAAGCAAAAAATTTTACAAATATGTAATTAAATACTTTCAGAGAAAGATATATGAATCAAGGTTAGAAACCAAAATGATTTTTTATCAGAATAATAAATAAATAAAAAAAAAAAATTACTTGTGGTTATTGTAGTTCTCTAAATTTGGATTTTTAATGTGACTTAATAAAATACAAAATATTACGATTACGGGAAGTAGCAAATGTTTCTTAAGATTTGTCTATTATTATTAAATTAACTTTCATGTTAAATTACAACATATAATGGAAAAAAGAATCATATTTTTCAAAAAAAAAGTTCAAACTTAAATAAAATAATACCAGACGCTATTCACATAATTTCATATCCTGAAAGACTAATATTACTGAAGTAACTAACTACTAAAATAGTTGAAAGATAACAGCTGTATAATATTTTAATAATAAAAAGTAATTCTATTACTACCGAAGGATTTTAATAAATTTATGTAAATATCATTATGTTAGAAATACATTTTCGTGGCTTTATAATGGGAAGGTAGTATAACAAAGAATAACAACTATTTTATGTGTGCACATCATTTACATATGAAAAGTATGTATAAAAGCATCATATAGCTGAAACTATATAACATCCATTACAACTGCGTTTCTTCCTCAAGGTCAACTGTAGAGAGCTAATCTTAATCCGGGAATAATAGTCAAATACAAATAACTGTAGCTTAATAAAAACGATTTATTAATGGAAATTTCAGCAACTGTAAATATTTTGTAGAATAATAAACACTATTTTATTTTTTAGTTAAAAAATTAACATGTTTTTAACGTGGACACAGTAAATCTTAAATTGGTTGTATCCACTTGAGGTGACTGCAAGTTTTAAATCGAATTGTGTTCCTACATTTGTCAAAATTTTTAAGCAAAGTGAGTGGGTGATATGATTAGTGTAATGGAACATGGATGTAAAGTTACAACATCATAAGCGCTACAACAACCTACAAAAGGGATATAGTGAGGGAGATGACATTCGCTCTTGCTACTAACCACACCCTTCCCCACCAATCTCAGCCATCTGCTATGGAACTATCAAAGTCTCGAAGTATCCACGATTCCGTCAGGGTGGCCGAATGGATCCAGAGAAGTAAAGGGAGAGTGATAAGATGGGTCGGAGGAGAATGGAAACGATTTATACGGAGATGGCCTTCTGCTACTGCCACGTCGTCTACAGCATCTGGCCTGAGGAGCAAAGAGGTGACGGCTAATAATAAATTACAACAAAACCAACCCCGCCACCAAACTGTACGGTGCTGAAAGGGATTAACATGCCAACAACACACAATCGATATACACACATACTTTTGTCTATTCTATATTTTTCAATACTTAATTTCAACCTATCAACACGTGCGTCTCATTATTCTGATCAAAAAACAAAATTCTTTTGTAAAATTATGGTACTATAATAAAGACATACTAAGTGAAACTTGGAAATATACTGAAAATTAACTTATGGGGATGTTGAGTATTTACTATGTAGTACATACCAACTATATAATTTTTAATAAATACTATGATGTTGAATTTTACAGAAACACTGTTGGTATAATAATAATAAATTCAATTTTATTTATCTATTTATTTCTTAAATTATAGAAGACTCATCGAATATTTTATCAATAAAGATTATACAGATGGACCGTGATTTTTCGACAAATCTGGATTGGATTTTTTATTTGATTTGTACTGTATATTATGTGTAAAATGATCATGAATAGTATTTAAAATGTGTGTTAAAATTCAGCGATTCCAAATATTTCCATCTAAATATTTAATTTATTTTCCTGGATAATATATTTTAAATTATTATATATTCTACAAAATTTAAACAATATTTGTTGATTGCTTTTTAATTAAAAATTTAATGAACAATATATTTTTAGCTAACATTAAACTTATAATATAAGGAAAATATATAAAATATTTTGTAAAACATACATGTGAAATTTGAATAATTTGTTATATTGTTTTAACATTTTTAAAATTCGATGTTCAGTATTGATTCACTTCTTTTGTTTAAAGTACTTTATTTATGTTATTTAATTACGGTGTATACACGCTTTATTCCGACAACACGTTTATCTCAAAATCATTGTTAATTCATGAGAGTATACCCGCCCTGATCTTATTTCCAGCCTCATTATACGGGATCATTGTAATTTCATTGAAAAATAAGAGCGAAATGCTTATACTTTTAGACTCGGTATTCGCTTGAGCTATTAAAACACAAATAAAGTAAAAAAATAGTAGCTTTTTATATTAAATGTTTAATCATAATAAATATATAATTTAAATAGATAACATTTTGGGTGCAACTATTGTATTAAAAATTAAAATTTAGTAAAAAACAAATAAAATTATGAAATACAATGCACATAGCAATTATACGTAATTTATACGATTTTAATCAATTTAAACACAATAAAAATGTATTTTAAAACTATTTTTTAATTTTATCGAATCGAACGTACTTGATATTTAAACATCAACACTTCTGGAATTCATTCGGGTTTAAGTTTTGAGACAATCACGAGATCTTATGTTACACAAGACGTGAGTGATAAAGTATTCACCAACTGTCACAACTCTTTCACGATAAACCCGTTGACATACGTTTCTACGTGTTATTAGAACATGTGACATGATAAGGACAACAAATTGGCGCCTGACTATTGAATTTGTTGTGATCGACGAGACGAGTCGTGTTCACGTATCTGAAAGGTTGAACAAATTATTCTACTACGTTGTGTTATTGGACTCAACGTTATAATAATAAAAAAAAGAAAAAAAAATTTCTCTATAAAACCAGTTTTAACCACAGGTATACATATATAGTGATAGTTTTCCTGAACAGTATGCTGTTTAAAATCCCCCAACTACAGACGGATACAATTAGTTACTCAAATTAAAATTAGGCTCATAAAACAACATCATTCAGTAAAGGTATCCTTCGTAAAACGGATAACATAGAAAAAATTCGTTGAAACAATCTATTGATGATTATTTAATTAATTCGATAATCCGCAATTTACTTAATTTATTTTACACATTTTTATTTGTTTTTTTTAGTTGCACAGTATTCTTATTCACTCCAATAAAAAAATTATATTAGACAGAGTGGTCTAATAACTATTGATTAACTAAATATTTTGCGTTTTTTCTTTTTTTTAATAATGTATGCATTCTTAGACTACATCAAAACCTTATTTTTTATTATAATTTTTTATTTTTAAAAACAAATATTAGTTATATTTTATATCCGTCTACGGTTTGCGGTTTTGTAACAATAAGAGTTCAAGAACACTATCATAGGAAATGTACAGTAATATATTTGAACTTACCAAGAATCCAAAGTAATCGCCAACCGTAAAAAAACAGTACAAACTAATTTTACCCTATTTATATACTATTTTATCAAAATCATATGTATTATTCTTACTTATAATGTTTGATTACTCACATCAATTATGTTTTTTTTTACTGTTATTATTATTCATAAAATATTTTGCTTACATTTTCGTACGTTTTGAAATACATTTTTTTTAAGATAAATTTTTATCTAATATCCTAATCCTAAACGATATTGATTTTAACTGCATGAATTTAAAAGAGAGAATGAGCCGGAGCTTGTTGCTTTATATTTTTAATATCTCCATTTTTTAGATTAAATATTATTATGATTAATATTATTAGCGTTTCTAGTAACTATAATTTATTTTTCACTCTTAATTGTTACGTTATTTAGTTATGATAAAAAACTTCAATACTCTTAGTCAATAATTAAGCCGGAAATTTAATACAGAATTTAGACGTGTAAATACTAAAATGACAACAGTGTTTACAAAAGAAAATCTTGTGTATTTCGATAGTCAAAGAATTTGATATCAACTTTGATGGTGACGAATATCACCAAAGTCATGATAATAATAAATACTCATTATTTTTTTATGTAGGTGCGCCAAAAAATATTTCCATGTGAGTGTTGAATACCACTTATCAAAATAGTGAATAATCCTCTGTTTATTTAATTTTCTCTTGGTTAACGAACGGGATTAGAACAATGTTGATATTTTATAAACAGTTCTCCATCCAACAATGTTGTAAACCATCGGTGTTTATTGCAAGTCACGAAACAAATTAACCGGTAGAGATTTATAACTTAATGGCTTATAATTAACAAACCTTGTATACTGGTGTACTTATTACAGGCAGAGGTTTTGCGCAATAATAATAATAACAATGTAATAACAATAATCGAGGCAGTGGCTATTGATTATTTAACAACGCGACAGTTCTGCGGTTGTGAAAATAAAATGTTTCTCGTTAACATTACCTTCCGCTACAAGTCTACCAAATAACCATAATAAAACAATTAAATACTCTCCGTTTTTTCAACTACTGTGGGTGAGCATGAAAATATTATTGCATTGATGATAATAGGCGCCTTAACCAAAGTAATGGGTAGGAAATCTTCTTCACGCGAAGAAACATTCAATACTGATAAATTAAATACCGTAAAACTTTTTGAGTAATTACTTTTTGAGCTTTATTATAAAAATAGATTTACAACATTTTGATGTGCAGCACTCAATATCAAAATTTTATACAAATTATAAGTAATAACTTCTAAGTAGTTTGAAGTTTACCAAACTCTAAGTTCGTGCGTGTTAGTGGTTTACTGTGATGCCCTTGTTTCTCTAATGTTCTGACCTATATTTTAAGTGTCCCAATACACTGCGTATAAAACATAATTCTTTAGAAAGTATCCTATTTACTATAAGTTTTACGAGGCCCAAAAATGTATTCCAAATATTTGCGCCGCAATCATCTAATCAATTTTCGTGTAAACTGTTAAAAAATTAATTAACATTTAAAAGATCTTCGAGACTTTGATAAAACTTAACAAGCGAAATACCTACAATAGCATAATTTGTAAATCTGTTTCATATGCAAAGAAGATTGCGTGATATGAATACTATATAAGTGTTATATTATGTAATTTACTTACAATTTACAGATGCTCCCACAGGTTTTCCATAGATAAATCAATGACGCAATGTTTTCTTGATTTTTCATATCTTAAAACAGAACAATAAGTTTGACTATTAAACGTAATAATAATGTTGTTTCACGATGAAAATTGATTTAAGTTGAATGTGATTTATTGATGAATTATTACAAAAATAATTTACAAACCTGATAAATTTAAGAGCAAAATGTAGAAAAAATGTTTATATTTTTTGAAACAATATTGGCTAACAATTTACTTTATCCTTATGACATTCGATACGGAATGTCATTAAATTGTGACACTCAATTTCACCTTTTTTTTTTTTTTTTTAATTAAACCACAGCGTTTTCATGCGTCAAATAAACGTTAAAAAAGACAAGACGTCGAATTTCGTCGAGTTGTTGACACGGTTATAGTCTTACATAATTTTTTTTTATTAACTTAAGCTGAAGTCATTAAATTACTTTAAGATTTATATTAATATTGTTGACTAACAAAAAGTGTACGTTTTAATATAAAATTAGTATTGACAGACAGAAAAAATGTTTTTTTCTTGTAATTTACAAAGATAAAATGTGTTGGTCTAGTAACATAGTTGACAAACACATTGATCGCAAAAAGTATTCGAGTTAGTTAAATGGAATTATAAATAAGCGACATGTGTTATGATTCATAAAAAATACATTTGAACTTTATCAAAACTTTACTCGTCGTAAGAGTAATTAAGTTCAAAGGGTCAATCACATACGGCTGACTCGGCGTAATCCGATCTGACAAAGAAAAGCTTGTCTCCCAATTGATCCTTGTAGACCGTGTCCGATGAGCGAGTGCAGTATGGAAAAGCGAATATAAGAGCTAAACCAACCGACATGCCGCGTGTACGCCATACACAGCAGCAGAAAAGAAGAATAATACACAATCCAATAAACTTCAATAAAGTAGAAAAATACGGAGGGTAGTTGACTGTTAAGTCCTGTTGGCACGTCCGATAAGTCGAGGGTGGCACACTTTTGACGTACTCAGTAATATCCAATTGAATGATAAGATTCACTTTGGCTAATAGAATTTCCGGTTATATATTCAGTGATTTTTTTTTGTATAATAAAAGCCATAATTTCAGATAAATGATGATAAATAAAATAGTTTGATTATATCGATCAAATAAAAGAAAAACACCTGTTTCGTAATTTCTTAAGAAGTTTTTTTTTATTTGGTGTGCATTTAACTTTAAAGGAGCAATTCAAATAAATATAACTATAATAAGTTAGAGTTCTAACTGATAGTTTACTATCAAATTAATTAAGACGATTTGTTCTATCATAGTTTGGATTGTTAGAGTAGAGCTAATGATTAATTACAGTTGTAAATGATATAAACTAATAATGAAACTCAAAGTAATGAGAAATCTATATTATTCCCTAATATGTGCTATTATTTTTTTTATTTGTAAAGTTATTCAGATATTTTAATTAAAAACAAAACATAATATTATAATAGTCTAGTTAAGAAAAACCATTAACAAGTTTTAAAATAATTTTAACTGGAAATTAACTCAATATTTGCTTCTGAAAATATCCTAGCTCTGGTTAGAACGACTTGAAAAGTCTAAACAAAAGTTTACTCCATCACCATTTTTCTTTGTTTAAGTGTCGGATCGGCAAAGTCATATTTCACATTTTTCGCGCTTGGTTGTTGTTTTTTACTTACTTACTCACTTATTCCTCGTAATACACAAATTGAATCCTCAAAATTTTCATCTTTTGACGTGCTCCTTTCTGAAAAAGAAAATGAATAATATAAGCAAATGTATAATATAAATAATTTATTTAAAAATTCTTTAGGCTCGTATTGTCAAATTTAAAAACAGTTTTAAATAGTTAGATGTGCATAATTTTTTCGATTACTATGATTCATAAAATCTCCTTTAATTTATTATTCATAAAATTATAATGAAATAATTTGTTTGTTTTCTAAGAATGGAAAAAATCTATCATTTAATTTTATCTATAAATGCTTTCTTATGTAATATGAATCTCAAAAAAATATTTAAGTCTTATAAAAATTACAAATTTTGTAGTAAAATTTATGAGTTGTATATTAATTATGAAAAATATATGAAATTGAAAATGAAAACTTGTGTAAATATGTATAATATATTGAGAAAATATTTTTTTGAGATTCATATTATATAAGAAAGCATTTATAGATAAAATTAAATGATATAATTTTTCCATTCTTAGAAAATAAACAAATTATTTCATTATAATGTTATAAATAATAAATTAAAGGAGATTTTAGAAAATTTACTGAAAATCTACCGACAAATTGACTATTAATCGTTTAAAACAAATTTTAAAATACTTTATAATTAAATTTAATAGTTAAAAATACACATACACACACACACTCATATATATATAATACTGTCAGCATTAATATGATTTACAATTTAATACTTAGCAAACCCTTTAGAAACATTAAAATTCATTACTTCCACTGAGAAAGTTTTCAATTCTTGAAAATGTTTTCAAAAATGAATATTTTTACTAACATCGTTTTAAGTATTTATACTACTCAATGTCTGCTTGCTTTTTTAAACCATAAATACCTTTTTTGACGTAGATTACCGAGAGACGTAGTTAAATGTCACCGAATGACTCAAAATATGAAAATATGATGGCTAGGAAATAATACTATGTAAATTTTACGACATAAATCGATAATGGACATTGAATAATATGCTTCTACCCGCATTCTGTTTTATTATTATTGCTATATAACTTGTTTATAACATAAAATAATACAACAACGACAATAGTCCCAAAGAATTCTAAGTGGCGATCATTTTATACCTTCGCTTTCTGTTTAAACGTGACAAATAATTATACAGGGTGTTCAGTAAGTCAGGAAACGGGTATCTATTGTTCTCATTGTTACAAACAATGAGAACAATAGAAACCCGTTTCCTGACTTACTGAACACCCTGTATATTTTAGCTTGTGAAGTATTTTATTATTATATTTATATATACTTCTGTTAATATTGTATTTGTATTATTAAAACGTATTATAATTTATAAAACATTTTATTATTTTTTTTCTACCGATAAATAATCGTTAATTATGAACTTACCATTATTATTAGGATTTTCAAATTAATGTTGTTAAAATTAAAATTAATCATAGTACACATTAATAACACTCTGATATTTTAACTCACGAACAGTTAAAGATTCGATTATTATTTATGAACACTTGCGATTATTATTTGTTAAAATAAATCCTAAGAAAACATCGTTGTAATTTGACTTCTATAATATTTTTTCTGTACACTACTTTTTCAAAAGCAGTATATTCTTTTTTTGAAGATTCCCAATAGTGAAGTGCATACTTTATAAAAATGAAAATAAAGGAATATAATATGTTTGAAAAAAATTGTCATATTGTATAATTGTAGCTTCAAATTTGAAAGATTAATATCAATAAAAACAAAACAATAGTATACTCAAATACTTTGCTCGAAACTTACGGATCTAAACATAGAATTTGATCTTGGAATCTACGTTTGTAGTAGCACATACTGTTAAGTTCTTATTAATAGGTTTAAACGTTTTTCGTCGAGTTTATTCGTTTAATTATCGTATATATATATATTAGACTGGATGTATGTATTTTTGTAAGTAAAAATTATTATTGCGCAAGTTTTGCAGCGCATGGAAAACTTTTAAGTATTAAAACTTTCAAAGAGTACAATTTCTGTACATTATGAATCGTTCCGTTTCCCTCGACCAGTCGATAACATGTAGTTAAGACCGAGATCAAAAATAGTGTAACCAAAAGACAGCACATGCTTCCAACAGTTGTCCTACTTTACAGTTTTTCACGGAAATTCATAGTCTCACGATTAAACATCTCGTATAACATTGTTAATGATGCATCCGTAGGTTAAACAATGCGATAAACAACGTGTTGCCACCACAGTAAATTTCTAACGACTCGCTTAAAATAACGTTTCAATAACATTAATTTAATTTTAATGAATAATTGAAATTATAGAAAAAAATACATTTTAAGTAGCGGCAAGTATTTGGGCGATTTTTCGGAGGATTCAAAAAACACGTTATCATAAATGTTTATGTTAATGTTTAACACGCGAATTATCACTTGAGAAAACATATTATTTATAGCATAACAAAATTTTATTTTAGAATTATACAAAACTTAAAGTTTTATGAAAATAACGGCTTTGAGGTGCAATTTTACGAAAATTAACAATATTGTAACTTAACCGTTGTCCTGTTTTTTACAATCTAATCTAATTATAATACATAAGTTAAGCTTAATAAGCAAATCGTAAATGTTTTTTTTTTAATTCAAATTATATTAATTTATAAAATATTGTAATTATTATAATTCAATCCAATGCAATATACTGGTGAAGAAACTATAGATAGTACATTAAGAAGAGTTATTTTTAAAAGTATCAAGTCGATGGCTTAAACGAGGTAGAACTGGTAACGGCACAAAATAAATCAGACAAGAAAATAGAGTGATTGATTATGTTTTTTTCTATTAGTAAGCGTAAAATACTACAATTTCAACTTGGCTCTTTTGCAAATCAACCCGAAATAGTGTTAAACTTGTAAAAACTTTTCTATTTATACTATATAATTTGTTTAGATATCAAAATGAAGTTTCGACAACTCAAAAATACTAAATTAGTTGGAAGATATCCAAATATCAAACAAAGACCAATAACAACATATTTAAACTAAAAAAAGGCATTAATATTAAAATAAGACAAATGAATAAATAAATAAAAGCAATAAAGGAAAATAGAAAAAATATAATAAAATGTTTAGAATTTAATCGAGATTTTATCACAATTAACCAATCAATTTGATTTATAACAAATATTTAAGTTTTTCCTTTATAAAAAATAATGTATTAGCCTGTCAAATCATTAATTCGATTTATATATATGTACCATTTTAATAAAGAATAAGTAGGTTATAAATAGAATTAAAAAAAAAAGATTTTAAAAAGAAAAATATAAATTGTCACTTTCAATACCTTGTTCTGTGAAAATACTATTATATGTAATATCGTTTTGTACTGTTTTGCTGCCCAGCTTTCTCCATCCATTACATGACCATGCGGAAAGGGTTACGGTACAACAGGGAAAAGTGGAGAAGGTTCTTGGGTCGAAAACGCAATATTATACGGATGCCGAGGGAAACGAGTCGATTTAGTAGATCGGTGAAGGGGAACGGGTGGAGAAGTTAAGGTGAAGAGCAGCTCAAACGGCGGTAAAGGCGGCAACCCCTTTCTACCCTCCCGGTACATCATATAGCCACAGACGCCCGCAAGCAAAACGAGCTGCCTTCGTTGAGTTCCACGTGCGATGAAGAAGAATAAAAAGAGAAGGAAAGAGTGAGATTAATTATGAAACAAACTTTTAATGGGAAACATAATTAAAAGATGGTGGAGAATACAATTTTTAATACAAACGTGAACTTTTCCAAAAAGGTTTAGATTTATTCAAATTGTTTTTATTTATATTAAATTTATTCTATTTACAGGCGAATACAATATTTTTGCTGGGTCAAAATCTAATACTCGAATCAAATCATATATATATTCCTTTATTGTGTGTATTGTTACTGTCCTTTGTGACATATTAATATATTAACTATAAATGAGGAGGTATGTAATGTATAAGAATTCTTATATTTATAAAATTCTTATGCAATACGGTAAAAATAGAGTATAGCTAAAAACTACCACGTTCATGAACTTTTCCTTAATTTATTTCCATATCAACCAGTAAAAATGGTATTTAAACTATTAAATAGTAAAATAATGATTATAAACTCCCATTTAACTTCCGAAACTTCTAAAATCTACCATTTGGAATAATTTTTTCTTACAATAAATGTGACATTTCATCATTCATAAAAATAAATCAAATTTTAACCAATATATTTTTGAGAAGAAATGTTTGGCGAAAAAATGTAGTTCAGTATTCTTAATAAATCACACTGTATATAAAAATACGACATTTATATTCAATTTTTTTGACCGAATCACTTAAATTGTTGAGTAAATGTTTAAAAGTATTATAGAAATCAATAGATTATCAATTATTATCAATTATAGAATCACGCTTTCTACACAAAGAGCATATGTATAATTATTTGAAGCGCTGTGTTAATTGTAATATAAAAATTATTTCACTAACAACGTTGTTTTTGATTAACTCTTTAGATACATTGTTTAATACTTAGTATAACATATCACAAGAGACAATGACAATATACACAACAAGGGAATACATTACTATTTGATTTGAATTATCACCCTAGTAAAAGTGTTGTATTCATCCAATCATCCCTTTTTGTCAGTCACGAGGAATAAATATTGATGAAATCAACATAATTTTGAATATTTCGATCTTCTAATATTTAATTGGGTTGATTAAACAAATTATTTTTTTCAGGACAATGTAGTTAAACCTAATGAGCTTTTCATCAATATTTAACCGGTCAAATGTTTAAAGTTTTTAACAATTATACAGATAAAAACATTTTCACACTTTTTATCTAGTGAATGAATAAGAGTGAAAGAGAAATATTTACTTGGAAGTACTTTTTCAAGCTTTAAAGTATATAACGACGTCGCAAGTCGGGGTCATGGAATATATTATGTTTAACTCACAGGGGAAAAGCTCAGCCGCCTACAACCGCTGTTTGAACAAGGGACGCATCAGTTATGAGAGAAAATAATATGCATGTACGAAGTGTATATTATGCTCTTACACATGTGTATGAAAACTGACAAAGTAATGTTTGAAATAAGAGTTACCTTTGTCTAAATATTATAAATCGCTCTAAAAAAAATGTATACCATTACATTTAATCCCAAACAATTTTACATTCTTTGTGGGGACATTACCCAGGAAAAAATGTCCAACTCATGATTATGACTTTCTGTGGGTTGTTTTAATTGAATTGTTAAATAATTAAAAATTATACATATACTCTTAAATAGTTTGATCAGAGATTTTACGAAATTTTGTATTTAGATCAACTTATTGTGTTTTCAAACTAAATTGATTATAATTTTAAAGTCTTTTTATATAATTTATTATTCGGTTTTTAAGCATGAATGGTGCATTGGAAACTATTTAACTAGTAACAATTTGACGGAACCAGATAAGCAGGACACAAAAGTCAAAAAAATCAATTCGCATACAAGTTTTCAAAGTCAAAATATCCAGTTTAACATTAAATATCATAATATATATAAATATTTACAATAATAAAATAATCAACAATTTATTTATCATTATAAATTAAAATTTAAGAATTTTTTTCTTCTGTTTTATAAGTTATCATTTTGATGTGGTCTTAACTAATAAGACACATAACAATTAATTTCGAATCATACAAGAATTAATGAAAAAGTTTTAAAATAATATATTTTGATGGTAATCGATAACCGATAAGGTTTAGAAAATATAAAGTTCATTTTAATTTTTTGTTATTATAAGAGAAAAAAATTGAATGTGCAGTAAGTATTCTATCTGGGCCACTAGATAACACGTATTTTCGACAATCCCTCTTAACGATTTTATTGTCAAAAAGATGTCTCATTCAAGTTATTGCACCTACAATAAAATCAATACGAAATTCACCTCATTTTCCCTGGCTTGGTTTCGATTTCATTTTATTAAAGTTTTAGACGAAGTACTCTGTCAACTTCTTCTTTAATGTTCATAAAATGTTTTTTAGTTCGACGAATAATATTTCTATAAGCGATATCTCTAAATGAAAATAAACTTATATTATAAACCCAAAATTATCAGTTTACGAATTTAAACAATACATTTTAATATCAAAGAATCTTTGGCAAACTTGATAAGATATTAATTTAGGATAATACATGTATTTTGTCAGAAATTATTGAGAAAATGAGTGTTTTATCGATCACTCTGTATATATAATACACACTTATATCATAGAGTAACCAGTTATAGAAGAACTTAACTAATGTTATTGACTTATTATTGTTCATTTGTATTTATTTTTAGGATAATTAAGTCATTTTATTTAAATTGATTTCCAAGTAATTAAAAACAATACACTACCTAAAATCACCTTAATTAGGTTTAATTAGTCATTATTTTCAACATAAATATATCCACTAAAAAATAAATTATACCATCCTCACGTTGTACAAAAAAAATTAAGCTTTGAAGGCGCATAATATTAACAATGAATTAATAATTAAGAGAAAAAAACTTTAAATTATATAAATAATGATGATGCAATAATCGTTGCATATTTCGTCTGTATTTAATTTTATTAGAAGTTCAATTAAGTAAAACAACACTTACATAACATTAGTTGTTATCGCTGCTTACAAAATCAATGACATTGTACTACTATGACCTAAGTGTAGTATAAAAGTATATAAAGTGGCTATTCAGAATAAAATAGTGTATTGTCAACTTATCTCGAATTAAAATCAATTTGTTTTGATAAAGCTTAAAGATCTTGAAAATTGCCAAAGTAAATCTATACTTCAAATACACAACAATTTGTGTACAATTTTTTACCAACTGTATATTATGGGATATAATGATGATTTAAAATGTGCAACTCAAAACAAACCATAGACGTTTAGTGTTGCACCATTATCGCGGTCATTATTTGATTCGATCCTATCATGAAACCATGTCTTCTATTTCAACCATGAATAAACACACATTTAGCTGTTTTAGATTAAAAGACTCCAGCATGTGTATAGTACGATATGTATAAGAGTACACAGAATGGTGTGGGTGACGGACGGACAAAAGATCAATAACTTCCTACCATGGTCGTCGGTCTTATCTATAGAGTCTTTACTTAAACTAACAGTAGAATTATTAGGACTGAAATGAAACATAATACACGCTATGTGTGCCGGTGTGCCATTGCTTTGGTATAACAATAAACTACCATTTTACCGGCTTAACTCGACGCTTTGGGAATTCAACGCATTTAAAAAAAAAAAGGTTTTTTTCTTGAACTGCATCATTGTGCAATATAAAGCTAACAAATGATTTAAAAAAAAAAATTAACCATATTATGCTTTCAGTAAAATTACGGATGTATTTAAAAACAGATTTTAATTAATTTGAGTGCAATTAGTAAAATGATAGCTACATTGCACGTATATAAATACTATTGCGCATAATAAAATTTCATTAAAACATCAAGTTTATGAAATTTCATCAATGTTGGTAAAATATAAAGGTACATGGGACTTATACCTTTTAAAGAAGTGCGATGTACGAAAAGTTTCTGACTATTTCAAACGCGCCGACGCTGAGGGGAAAATAACTTTTGAAGGAAAACGATTTGAAATGGAGGGAGCGATGAGAAAATACCTCAGGGTCTTTGCTTCACGTCTCGGATATAAATATTACTGTAAGGCAAAACTAACGATATTATTTGCTTACCGCCTCGACCGTACGTAACATTAGATACACCCATAAACATATTAGGAAAGACACTTGTGGAATGAGTAATGAAGACAATATTTAAAAAATAATGTAACAAAATAAATAATACGTACTTTGGATTACACAGAAATTTGGTGACGTTCAATGTTTGCAAAAGTTATTTTCCACTTTCTGTAATATTTCGTGCCTTCCAGTAAGGGAAATCTCATCCCTCTTGGAACTCTTTGGTTCTTTCATACTTAAACTATTTCTTTCTTTAACCAAAATATAAAATCGACCTGTAAATGTATACATGAATTTGTACAGCGATCAATAGCAACAATAAATACTACAGTTTTGATTAAGCAACACTTTAGAATATAAAATAATTATGAAATTACTAAAATTTGTTTAATGGGAACAATTTTATTAATTATGATGTCAAGATATTACACAATTCTGCATAAGACTGGCTTAAAAATAATAGAAATAATAATTGCGAAGCATTCTAAAAATAATGAAATTAAATGTTTGCAGCCTATAAAAAAAAAAAATATATTACTTACACTCCATGGAAAGATTTCACAGTAATCATCCCGGTCCATTTCCATGTAATAAATTTTATATAAAATTATGTATTGATTTAAGTAGTCATTACTTAATAAATAGGGTTTATGGCTTAATGAATTTATAAATTTGTTTGAACTGCCTCCGGTACATTAAGTTCGTAAAAATGTATTATGGGTAAATACAGTATTACCGGAACTTTTTTTTTTTTAGTTTGAGGAGAGTGTACCTAACCCTAACGGAACTCAAAAGTAAAATCATAATTAATATGCATTATTGATTAAGGTTATGAAAAACAAAATCTATTATCTATTTATCATTTATGTACTCGGAATGACTAAAATAAACTTTATAAATGCAATAAGTTCTAAAAAATTAATTATAAATTAAAATTACATAATTATTAAAATTTCTTCACTTTTTCAGCATTAAATTGTACATTGGAAATTATTATAAAAACGTTAGGACATTAGAAGAAAGATATAAAAGGGTTAATAGAGTCGGTGACACTAATTATTTTAAAACGTTTACACTTGAGAGGCTAAAAGTGTAATCTTATAAACGAGCGCAGGCCAACAGTAAATCCTTTTGGTAAAACGGTCGTTAAAAACAAAATAGTGTGATAAATTATAAAACATGTTGCAGCTATTTTAACCTCTAAATTTTTAGCTTTTTCCTCTCATGAACTTTTCATTTTTAAACAACTACCGGTTAATTTTTTAATTAAAAAAAGAATATTAAAATTGTAAAATATTATTTAATTAGGATTAATGCTAACATTTTTTTAATGTAAATACGAAATTTTTTTCCTAATTTAACACTTAAATACGTTTAAACGTTCCACTTGTGTGAGTGTTTTTTTATAAATATATAAATTAATATAATTATTAACTTTTTATTCATTTAATGCTTATAAAACATACCAATTTAGTAATATGATTTGTCGGAGTTTGAGAAATTTAATTCATCGGTTTTGCTGAATATTACACTTGTAGAACTTCGGGAGGGCCAACTTTTGTTGAAATTTACATATAATCACTATACAATTAAGAAATATTTTCAGATTGATAGGGTTCCGTGTTACCCTCAGCCTCAGTTATCAATCTAAACGAAAGTTCTCTACATGAGTTTGGTAATAATTTATTGTTCCAGCGATTATCTAAGTTTTATTAAAAACATCTACCTAGTTACATACGAACTGCGACCATTTATCGTTTGTCAGGTTTACCGTGAAAAATAGTAAACAGAAAATGTAATCACCGACCGAATTGAATGTAATTCGAACAAACTTTTGGGGGTATTAACATAATTTCTTCCCTTTTTCAAAGTAAATTTACATTTTTTTTTTCTTTAAACAATATTTATTTAATTATTTTCTTATATTCACAATCGCCTCCTAAATTAAGTTCTGCCAACTATAATATTGTATTAATTTTTATTTTTCATTTGTTTTAATAGTGAATATGTTTTCATAGCCTAACATTGGAGGTTTTAATTTTTTTTTTCAACATTGAATTTTTATTCCGTTACCATATAGTCTATAATACCACAAGTACAACATATGACACATAAGTGTGCGTCGACCTAGTGGTAAGGTATCTACGGCGCCTTGTGTCGCAGGAACTAATCCTGTGACGTGCCCTTTTTTCCACAAATCCTCGGCGGCTGTGTCTGGATGTCATTTATAACGAATAGTCTTATATTTATAAACATACTTCTAATTTATTAATGTCTATAGATTGTGTGAGTCAAACTTTAGCATTAAAATTAACACTTTCTAGTTATTCAAATAATTCGAAGATTTACAAATCTAATTGGCATAATAAGTTGAATTCTCTAAACGTTTTGTGAACAATACAAGGAGCACATACTTTACAAGAACTATTATTATTGTGTTATAAACTTTACTGGCTCTGGTCCAGAAAACTTTGTTATAAAGTTATATTTAAAAAATCTTTATTCAATTTTTATCTTAAGGATTATAGCACTTAACGATGTAATTTTTATGGTTAATAAATTTTACAGTATATCAACTACTAAATATTATACAAATCAAAAATAATAACGGTAATAAATTTTATTATTGTCAAAAAATATTACAGGGTGAAAAATAAGGATCAGAATAATAATCTTTCAAAATAGTTAAAATATGATAAAAAAAATTATTTTATTAAAATAAAAATAAATTTTTCATTTTATCTAGGTATACATTTGAATAATATAAAATAAAGTATTGTTATTTTTTTTGCTCGCTAAAATTTGTTATTATTATACTTTTTGAGGAAATTGGAATAAGCAAGAAATAAGGTGTTTCTTTTTAAAAGGTTTTAAAAAGAAATTTTATTAATTATACATAATTAGAATATTGACGCATATATTAGTTAATTTTAAAATAAAAAAATACCAATACTTAGAGTATCCAAATAATATTACAAATATAATAACTTCATTCAAATAAAGAAATTTAAAATGGTTAAAAAATTAACATTTACTGTAGAACATACTAATTTTATTACCTTTTTCAAATGTTATATAACACTTAAGTATTAAGTTAACACAATTTTTTTTTTAAATGATTTATAAACTAAAGTAAGAATACGAGAGTTTATATTAATTAATATCTCGTACTATATTCTTTAATTGGATTTTGTTTTTTTTATTAAGATAAAAAATAAATTATAAAGTATTAAAAATATCTAATTTATTATTATTATTTTTTTTTAATGGAATTCAAATAATTTGTACGACATTAGCACGTTTTATTTAATAAAAAGTTAATACTTACAAATAATAATTTTAATTTTACTTTAGCAGCATTATGACAAATAACAATATCATAATAAACTATTAACAGTACTAACGTCAAATATAGAAGAAATTGAAAATTTGTCAACATTTTTAACAATAATTAAATTTTTTATAAGAAAAACAGTTGATTCATTCAAACTCGACAAATAAGAAAAGTGTAATTGCTATTGATTTTTAATTATAAAAAATGATACAACTAAACATTTGTTATCAATAAACTATTAATAATGTCAGCAACGAATTGCGTTGCAACTAAAATGATAGTCTACAATATGAACGTACATTACACGTTAGTTATGAGGGTTTAAGCCTCCGCAGACACATTTAGACAAAATAATATTATGAAGAAGCTCCTCAGAATACCGCCCAGATTTATAAATATATAAGAGCTATAATCTAATTAACACAATGTTCAGCCTACGTCAATGTTTTACAATATAAATGATTTGATAAAAGTGTTAAATATTCTCCCAATATCTAATATTTAGTATTTTATATTATCCACTGTTTTCGTTAAGATAATTATTAGCTTACCAAAAGAAACTTAAAATAATAGAATCGATAAAATAAAATGATTAATATAAAATAATAAAACAATTTGTAAGTATATAAAATTATTTTCGTTATCTTTAACATGATACGTTCAATGCATCAGCTTTGTATAAATTAAGAGTAATTTTCAAAATCATTAAAAGTAATATCTATTGAAGCAGTAGATTGACCAAACTTCTCAGTAAAATGAGTTTTGTTTTAAATTATTTCAAAGAAAATATGTTTACTTACGATTTTCTATTTACAAATCCTGTGATAAAATGTCGATTCATTTATGCAATTGTTACCAAAGAAAAATAATGTAAACATTTTTTAACCTTAAAAAAATATTGTTTTAGCTATAAACGAATTTTTGCAAAAAGTATTAAAAATATTTTTTAGTTTTAAATTAATAATATTTTTAATATAGTTTTAATTTTAAATAATATTAGCCACAAGTGATTAATTTTTAATATATTAAATTAAAATACTAAACTATTATGATACTCACCAAAAGACAACAAAAATATATTCAACTAAATAGGAAAGAAATTATGTCCGTCTTACTAAAAATGATAACAAAATTATAGCATACGTTCTTATTATATGAACAGATTGTATTTTTTTTTTAACAATATTAAAAAAAAAGAAAAATATGTTTATCATATTTAATTGTGTGTATTATGCAACAAGATACATATCAAAAGAGTTCAATGATGCTATCAAAAAAAATATACTAGTCAAACGTCTACGCCAGGATTGTTACGCATTGTTAAAAACATCAAAAATTTCAAAATTTATGTTGGCAAATTTTAAACTGTTAATTTATGTTTTAAAGAGGTTTTTTTAACAATCCTGGTCTACACACAATGAAAACAATCATTACATACAAACAGAATCGGGTTTATTTTTAAGTTGAATTATTAAGTACAAATATTTTATATTCTAAAATCTAGAATATAAATCAATAAAGAAATGTGTGATATTGTAATAAAATGTTTTTTGATCATATAATTGTGTAAATTTCAATGACATTTTTGTTTATTTATTTAATTTGTTCTACAAATATATGAGATTTTATAAATGCTATCAATAAAATTTGATTAATATTTTATAAAAATGTTGTCTAAATAAAAAAAAAAAAATGATATAGTGTAAAAATGTATTCTGTAGTTCTTAAAAACTACTGAAATAATAAATTTTGTGTCACGTATACACATATGATATTTTGTTGTGTGTAATATGGTAATAAAAAATACGTCTGAATCGATTATGACTATGTTTCTACTTCCTTTACTTTTGCACACATGTACATCCTATGAATGTACAATCGTTTCCATCCGATTAACTATAGTGCAAAAAAAAAAAACATTTCGCTTGTTGTTTTTACAGCACTTGGCTTGCATGGCACACGTCATGACAAATTACACTTCACGACATCCGTCGTCATCAACGCTTGTTTCTATAGTTTAATTTTGAATAATAAAAGTAATATTGAACTCTATTAGATTATTCAATTGTTTAGTGACGCTGTTCGTCGAATTTTTCCCAATAATTCGTATTAATCTAAACGCCCTACGGTATTTATAATTATTTAAATCTGCTTTTCGCATTTTTTAACGGGTAACCCAAATACCAATTTTATTGTTGATGTCTGTTATACATGAAGATCGATAACATTTTAATTGTACGCCTTGTGGTGTAAAGCAAAATTGATAACATATGTTTTTAAACAAATATTTTTTTAATCATAGTAAACCATCGCATAAGTTGATTCACATAATGTTTGTACGGATGAACGAAAAACAAATAGAGTAAATAAGCCACATTGTCGTTCTAGAAAATCTCTAAACTAATTTTTTATATATCTTTGTAATTTAGATTACAATGTAATAGAATACTTTTAAGTTTTATAATTACAAATAGAAAATTTGATGTCCCTCAACTACTTTACTCTATTAATTGCAAATAATATATAAGCAATAATTGTTTATGAAAATAAATTTCATTACTCTTGTTATTATTTTTAGTAATAAATGAATAACTTAGTTAACACAAGGAATAGATTTTAGCTTGAAGTGTTAGTTATCCTTAACACAAAAATAAAACCAACATGAAAAAACACTGCTTTTCAAAGTCTAGTTAACCAATAAACTCACAAATAATCATAAATTCTATTTGATGTCAATATTTATTTATGTAAAAAGTGTTACTAAATGGTAAAATTTATTCTATGATTGTTTTTATTTATCAATATATTGGTACATTTGCTTATTATTATAAAAAATACTATGGACTTTATCTGAATGTATATTTCTAGACAAGTTGTCTCCGTTACCCCGAGAATAAAAATAATGTCAACGTTGTGTTGTATTATTCGTTGTTTGGTTTATTCAAGATCATTTTGAATCAAATAAAGATCAAGGATAGTAACTCGACAGTCTAACTGTGTTATGATTACACTATTAACGTATCATAATCGTAATCGCAGTAGTAGTAGTAATAGTAGTAATGTTATCGACCGGGCGGCGACTGAGTTCTTTGTCCGGCGGCGCCAACGGCGGCAGGACCAAAATCGATTAGAACCCCCGGGACTCGCCTTTTGGGAATCACTGCGCTAGGCAGCGACACTGGTGTGTGTATATATGTGAATACCACCCTCGATTCTCTTTAGGATTGTTTTTTTTTTGCTTATTACCTTAATCCTCTTACCTTCCTTGGCTTTGAGTAAAACATATAATTAGAACAGAATTGAAGAACCAATGAACTGACGTGAAACTATGACGTATATGGCGATAAAATCGAAATACAACGCAATGTTTGGCATTATTAAACATAACCCTTTGTCTGAATTACACGTTCTATATTTATCGTAAATTTATCATAACTCGTACAAAGTACTACAGCTATATTTTCTAATAAACGATAAATCAGAGGTTTGCATTAGAGTATCCACTGCTACCATATGTGAAGTATTTCTGTGTTTGTGATAAGTAACGCCGTCGCCCGGTGGTTTTTATCGTTGTTATTATTACAACGTTAACTGCGCTGATAAGCATCGTATTTGTTAGCTTTATACCAAGACGTCCCGCAATTGTCTTCCTATGAATTATTTTATATTCTGCGACCAACTATTTTTTGTCTTTACATTTCTTTACAAAAAAAAAAACAATCCTGTTCTGCCGTTTAGTGCTTTCCTGGTCGATTCTTTTACCCATATGATGCTGTCTAAAGATTGGTGACAAGAATATATTTATATTAATCCATAATTTATAAATTCATTTAAACATGATTCAATATATCAATATGATAATATGATCAATTTTATAAGCAACATAATACCAATTCGTAAAAATTATATTTAATAATGTAATGTGTAATGAAGTTCAATAGTAATGATTTATCTTTAGCGAATTCAAAGGAAAATTGATTGAAATAATACGCGACCAAGTGAATTAACTTGAATTTACAGAAGATTTAGTAAGGCAAACGCAAAGCTTATTTACTTAGTAGGCGGTTAAGATAAAACAATACTGGAAATGAAATGGATGCAATCTACTTTGACTTTTTAGATTTTTGCTTCACCGACGCGCCGGTAAACAAAAATGCAATGAATTATTAGGATTGTATAAAACTTAAAAGCATATTTCTTTTGCT